CTGAGAGGTCTCCCGTATTTGTGAGAACCAGACTCGGGCCGTATAGGTGGATTAAATTATTATCAGGTTATTCCACCTTGTGCTCGGGCCTGAAAAGTCCAAGTTTGGTCATTTGCTAAGGTCTTGTGAGAAAACCACAAAAATCCTGTTCCATTTTAGATGTCTGCTTCACACTGCATTTACCAGAGCAGAGAGATTAATTTCACCGAACAAAACCGTTGCTTCATCAAAGAGATTAAGATATCCCTCAGCTGTATTACAGCGTTAAGCCAGATTCATCCACCTTTCTGTTCCTTTGAAGCCACTGGGAGAAAGAGACTTTTCAAAAGTGAAGATTTACAAGTGGTTTAGAAAAGTAATGTCATGCACATTTTCAACTGGGAGATTAAGCTGGGGCGGAAGTGTATGCATGTCACATTGGTGATGACAGTACAGTAATGAAAGGGCTCCCGTGCCACCCCCGCTTGTCACCTGTCCTAGCATTCAGGTTGCGGCAGACCTGGGGCTGAGCACTTCATTTTTAAAGTCTGTTTTTCTGAATTAAGTACAACTGTTTGTAAAAGCAGCGGTAGCATTTGGTGGTATTTGCCGGTCTGAGAAGGACTGTGAGAGCCTCCGTTACTACAAAGTTGCCGTCTCAGAATCTTAAAGGGCCCTTAACACACCCAGTCAGCCAGGAGGACTCTCAACTGGAAACCTCTGTGCTCCAAAGGCCTCGCTTTTTTGCTTGCCTCTCCTCAACAAGGTAAAGAATGATTTCATTTTCCCTCCCAGAAGGCAGTTTCTGCTTTTGTGTGGGACAGTACACCTGTGGCTGCCCACATAGCTAGTGGCAGAATCCTGACTGGTCACTCTTTTTGTGAGGGTCAAGGTTAGGGGCAGTTTCCTTTTTCACTTTGGCTGTGGTTCCCTGGCATGGGTCTCCCCAGTGAGGAGCGAGAGGCCAGGGAGACTTCAGTGGGGGGTTTCCTCCTACGTGAGCAGTGGCTTTTTCAGGCCATGAGTGGTCCTATGTCCTGCCCAGCTCTGGAGCGGACACACGATGCCACTGTTTTTATGGGAGTGGCAGGAGAGCTGGCGGGGGTGGGGGGTGGGGGGGTGACATCCAGTCCCTACCTAGTAAGCACAGCTCTGCAAGGCACATTGAACCCCATAAGGATCCCAACTCGAAAAGGCCTCCCCGTGGAAGGGCGCACCTGGAATTTGCTTCATGTTTTCAAGCAAGGCCTGGACATGGCCAGGGGCTTGAATTGGGCTGAGTTCAGGAGAAACAAATGATCCTTGATTGGTGGGTTGCTGGGTCCGGCCCTTCTTTGCCCACGTACCAGGTCATCTAGCCAGCCAGCCAGCCAGCCAGCCAGAGGGCTGCTGGAGGAATACTTCCCAGTTCTGCTGCTAAAAGAATTCGCTGGAGAATCTATCTTTAATGTGGATCAGTGGGAACAGGACTTCCAGAGGCAGAGAAGCCACACACATTGGCGCCCATTTTAGAAGTTTTTGGAGAGTTTTCCCCATGACCTGGCCGACTAGCAGAGGCTTCTCAGGTGTAGGTGAAAAGCCACAGGGCGCAACCGTTCCCTGTGGCCTGCAACCCAACAGTGAGGGTGCAGAAGTGTCCTTGTGTGCCCATCGGGACAAAAAGCACTTGCTGTCCTAGTGTCTGTCTTTTAGACTCCGTGTGGGCAAGATGAAGGGGAATGGCCTGTCGTTCATGGAAGTCACCCACCTCCGGAGCCAGCACCGATGTTCCAAAGTTCCGTGCTCTCCCTCAGCCCCCAGGAGGGGTGGACTGGGACCTTTGCACTTGCCTTTGTGAGCTGGTGCAGCCCCACCCACCCTGGCTTGCTGTTGAGCAGGCAGCGGGGGTGGAGGGTGGAAGGAGGGTTGGGAGACTTCATTAAAGAGTGAGTGTCCCTAAATTAATCACTCTGAGCTCCTGGGGGGAAGTTCCTCTGTAAACACGTGGCCTGGGGTTTCCCAGCCTGTGTTTACACAGAGGCCCGAGTGTGCCTTACTTTGTTTGAATTGGAGCTGCCCAGGGCTTCCTCTGAACAGTTGCCTTGGTCCCTTTCTCTGGCTTTGTGGCCTGGATTTATTTGGTCAGTGACTTGAAGTTTGACCTGTTTAAGACCGCCTGAGAGAGTCACATGAGCAGCCAGTTGTCATTTCTCCTGGGTGAAGACTGAAGCACATGCAGGCGGCCGGCCGCTCCAGGTCCTGACTTGGGACAAGTGAGCCACAGTGTCCTGGTGGCCTCTGGGGCTCCAGCTCGAATCCTTCCTTTTGGAGGTTTGCTCAGCATGGCGTTTACAAAAATGCAGATTGGGTTAGTGTGGGCTTCTGCCTGTGGTTTTGGTAACTCACTGTGGGAATGTGATTTCAGATCTTGCTGGGGTTCTTTGCGGGGGCTTTAATGGTGAAAATTTAAAAACGTGCACAGAAATGGAGGGAAAGGTGAATCCTCAGGTACCTGTCACTCAGCCTTCATAATCATCAATACATCCCATATCTCTTACCCACCCATGAAAAACGAACTTCCTAAAACTTAGTGGGCTCCATGCCAAACAAGATTGCTATTTGCCTGGCCCCTCCCCTACCGTCTTGCATTTGCATTTGCATTTGCGTGGGCAAGTTCAACATTTGCTTGACAGATTTTAATGGGACCAATCACAGTGGTGGTGGTGGGAACTGATTCTGAGATTCTGGCCAAGCCCAGTTTCAAGAGCAAACTGCTCATGTGGGAAGAGTAAACTGCAGCGTAGAAGGGCGGGCTGTCCCCTTCTAGGGGGTGACATTGATGGGTGCGGGGGAGACAGTCCACTTCTCTCATCGGAATGAGCAGTGGGGCAGAGGGCCATGTCCACCTGCTATCTGTGTTCCCCTGTCTGGACCACACCCCAGGACACAGGTGCCCAGGACCCCAGCTCCTGCACAGGGCGGGTGTCCACTCTGGACACCCACCAGTTGGGGTGTCCTCAGGTGTGGGCACGAGGCCGCTGCCAGGGTGGGTGGGCCCGGAGAGCAGAGGTAGGTGGAAAGATACTGGGCCGGGGTGGGGGCTGCCCCCCCGCACCCGTAGGATTCTGGACCTGGTGCTCCTGTTCATCATGGGGGTGTACTTCTCAGACTGAGAAGATAGAGCATATTTTGTCTCATCGTTTGTTAACTTGACCTAAAACTTGAAAATAGTTCAACATGCAGGTGCAGGGCTCCACAGTGACAACTGTCAGGCAGATAGAACTGGACTGGCCTCACCCAAAGACCTCGAGTGCGAGTAGGGCACGGTCCCCAAGAGCATGTGCCCAGCGCCCTGCAGAAATGCCTCTTCCTGGTCCCATTAGCTTGTCCTGGGGGGCCCTCTGCCGAGTGGGTGGGGTTACTGTGCTTGGCACCCAGGGTGGACGCTGGGCACCTGCCGTTGGCCTGGTCCCGTGCCCTGGCTGGGAAGGCCAGGTGCGTTCAGCCATGTCCCGGGACAGCAGCCCTCCCAGCATAGGAAGCTGGTGGGTTACTGTTTGCTTGTACAGCTGCCTGGCTCAGAAATGACTTGGGGTGGGGATGGTTCACTCCAAGCATGAAGGGCCAGCCCAGCAGCCCCTTTCCCGTGGCCCAGTTCATGGCAGCTATTCCGAAGCGCAGATGCCAGACTAAAATTTAAGGCAGTTTCTAGAGGATGTGGGACTCCTCCGGAGAGGTTTCTGTAATGTCGTGGGAGCTGGCACTTAATTCTATTCCTGCATCTGTGCTTCTTCAGCACCGCCCTCTCCCTCTCAGATGCTGGGGCACGGCCGGCTGGCCCTCCTGGAGCTCCCGGAACCCGGGGCCCGGTCCCGCCCTTGGGCCGGCGCTGTGCTCTCCAACTCCGACTCCTCCTTGTGGGTTTTCAACAAAACCATGCCCTTCCTGAGATCCGGGCCTCATCTTCTGCCTCTTCTGCTCCGTGACAAGATCTAAGGTGACAGGCAGGGCAAAATGGGTGATAAGAAATGACAGGGGACTTTCCCGTGTCCTTTAAATGGGGTGAGGTCACAGGGAGCAGGACATGAGTGCTGGTGTGGGATGTGAGGAGTGGGGTGGAGAGAGGGCAGGGTGTTCACAGCTGATGCTCAGACCCCGGGAGGGACTGGGCTGGTCCAGACCGAAGGTGAGCCTGTCCTTGGGCCACGGCCTTTTTGTGTTCAGCGAGTACAGGCTGAGTAGGGATTGGTGGTCGTGATCTCCACGAAGAAACAGCTACTTCCCCACCCTCACCACTGACCCTGGAAGGCATCTATCCCACCCCACACCCTCCGCCTGCCTATTCTCCCACGTCTTGGGCAGCAGAGGCGGACCTGAATTCTGGCTCTGGCTGCTCTCAGGGGAATACAGTTAATCCTTGCAGACCTCAGCTTCTAATCTGAAAACAAATGAAGGATAACCTGTATTGCCTTTCTGCTCTTTCTACTGAGATTCCTTGTGGCTTAAAGAAAAAGCTTAAACACTAAGCATAAACAAATAAGACACACCACTACTTCACATACGTAGTTAAAATTATAAGGATTAAGAAGTGCAAATTGGCAGTCACAGAACAGTCATGGGGATCAAGTACAGTGTAGGGAATAGAGTGAGTGGCCCCCAGTGACCGCATGGTGTCGCATGGGTGTCCGGTGTCTCAGGGTGGTCACCTAGAAAGTTGTATAAATGTCTGTGCACCTGCAACTAAGGTAACATGGTACATCAACTGTAATTGAATGATGAGAAATTATTAAAATTTAAAAAGTGTCACAGATGCACACCCACGATTGTAAGCTAGCCAGAAATTTGAATGTTAAGCGAAATTATTGGGCACACAAAATCCGAGATGGCACAGATCTTACTCTGAGCTTGACTCAGGAGTCTGATGCCCTGCATTGTTCAGTGGACACTTTGTGAATCAATTAAAATACATGAGAACATCTGTGCTTCACTCTGCTCTTCCTTATAACCAGCAAAAATAAATAGATAAGCCATAACAATTTAAGTTTAAATTAGGAACGCAAAGTACAGTATTTATTAAGATATCATAAACTGTGCTAGTTCAGTAGCTCATTTAGCCGATTCCTATTAATATCCATTGCAATTCCGAGCTACCTTTCGTCATATTGCATAACTTTTTTTTAAATAATCTGGGCTGGAGGGGAGAGCTGGTGTGTCTGGGAGCAGGCGGTCTTTTCTTAGCTGCATGTTTCACTGACTGTGGCTGCGTGAACTTGGTGTCAGCGGGAATCTTGTCCATGGGGGATAAATACCGTGTGTCAGAAAAGTCTCTAAGCAGAGGAGACAGTTCCCTGCAGCTCCTGCTGTCGGATTTAGCAACTGAGGTCAGGCGGGGCGGAGCTGGATCCGCAGCAAGGAGTGAGCCAAACGCTGTCACGCGTGCTGTGGCCCAGTGGAGCAGTGACAGTTACGCCCTGGCCTGTCTCAACAATGGGTTCCTTTGATGTGGGTAAAGAAAGGAACATTGGGAAGCAAGGGCTGGAAATAACTTGCCACCTGCCCGGCTGAGCCAGGCCCTGCTGTCGACGTCCCCCTGTGGTGTATCTGCTTGTCTCCTCCCGGACCACAGGGCAGGGGGAGCCCCCGAGCTCCAGGGAGGCGCGGAGGTCAGACACACCTTCCAGAGTAGCAGGAGGACCAGCAATGGAGCTGCAAGACTGGAATTCCACGTTCAAATTTTTTGTCTCTTGAGTGGACAAATGGAATCTTTGGTTTCTCATTTCCAAGGGCTCCTTGCCGCTTCCTCCAGACAGACTACAAAACAGTGTTTTGGGGTAAGGACTGAGAGATTTTATTTGGCAGTATATGTAAACTGATTTTAATCACAACTCTATCTGTTTACCTATATCATCTATTTAAGTTTTGCTGATTACTGACAGGGGAAGAGGCATGATTTTCATAAGGATGTTAAAAAGATTGAAGATGCCAAAGACCCCAGGGAGCCTGTGGTGGGGACTCAGGGGAAGGTCCGGGCCTGGGTGCCAGGTCTGGGGGCTCCACCCAGCTGTGTGTGTTTGTGTGTGTGTGTGTGTGTGTGTGTGTGTGAGAGAGAGAGAGAGAGTGAGAGAGAGAGAGCAAACTCCCCTTTCCAGCCCTGTCTCTGCTCTCCAGACTCTGACTGTGGTTCTGAATCTGTCCAGAGGGGGCACTTTTCCCAACTCCCCACGTGGGCTGGAGGCTGCCCCGGAGAAAGTCAGTCGGTCAAGCCTTCTTTCTAACGTGCGTGACAGTAATAAAACTTTCAGTCCAACCTCGGAACCAGCGTTTGTGCCTCTGCTGCATGGGAACCAGGTACATGGAGGGAGAAGCTGCGATGAGAAACCTCTGCATGGGGTGGAGGTCCACGGGGTTTGGAGGTCTGTGTCCTGGCTTCCGCAGCACCCTCCCCCTCTGTGTGTCTGGTTCAGTTTGCTGATGGAAAAATGAGGTTACGGAGAACCTGTTAGAATTTTGTCTGAGAGAGAACGTGTGCCCAGGAGGCAGACTTGAGCCGTGATCCTGCGTGGAGAAGGCGGGGAGCTCTGGAGGAAGGGCCGTGGGCGGGAGCGTGGTCACCACCTCTGTGCCGGGTCCTCGAGGAGAGTCCCTCGTTCTGTGGCGTCCGCCTCCCCCTGCCCGGAACACTCTCCTGCCTTTCGGGTGCAGATGGTAGAAAACACAGGAGACAGACCCCAAAGTAGCCAGAGTGCGGTGATGCCGTGTCTGACACTTCAGGAGATGGATGGATGGATGGATGGATGGATGGATGGATGGATGGATGGACGGACGGATGGACAGATGGACGGACACATGCGCACGTACGCAGCAGCGAGGACCGGTAGGGAAATGAGACTGGGGGGATGTGGATGGCTGTCGGAGTTGGGTGATAGGTGTTTAGTTGTCCAGTAGACAAGGTGAATCAGTAAGCTGACTGCTCTTCATCCACAATGGGTAAGACCTGATGGGTTTCTCCCAAAAGCCATCATTAGTCAGTTAGAGGCAGTGACAGGAAAAAGGACTCTGCGCCCAGGGACGGCAGTTTCCGGGAATAAACACGACAAAACATGTAAGGCCTAAAAGAAGAAAGATATAAAACTTCTTCTTCTTTGGAAGAACTTCTCTGGTGCTTCTAGCACCAAGTAAGTGAAAAGGTATACTGTATTTTGGGGACAGAACAGCAACCATGTGAATGCATTAGTTCTCTAATTAATCTGTAAATGCACGTATCTGAGTAAAATCCAATTAAATTCCAGTCAACAGGAGTTTGAGCTAAAACCGAACGGGCTGGCTTCTAAGTGTATCCGGGGCTGTCCCCGGCCCCCACGTAAATGTATTCTTATCTTGTTTCGGTTCCTGGCGGCCCATCTGATGGGGCTCAGGACAAGGACGGCCAGGCACCCTGATCCCCCGCCTTCCTCAGCCCCAGGCAACCCACCTACTTACTCTCCACCGAAAGAGGCCCTGACCCGGTAGCTCAGTTGGTTAGAGCATCGTCCTGATACACCAAGGTTGTGGGTTCAATCCCCAGTCAGGGCACATGCCGGAATCCAGCAATGAGTGCGTAAGTGGAACAGCAAATTGATGTTTCCCTCCCTCTCTCTTCCTATCTAGCTGTGATGTAAATATAAAATGTAACATGATGTAAAAACCATGGCCTGCTTTCTCTTGGGCAGGCAGTCCCCACCCAGCAGGTCGCCCACTGCCACACCTGGCACACATCCCCAGTCCCACACAGGGCCTCCCGCCCAAACCTGCACGGTCTCCATCCCGGCCCTGGTTCTATCTCCAGTGTCCCGGCGCACACCTCGAGGGCTCACTGCCCTGCATGGGCACCCCCACCCGCAGCGTGCTCCCCCTGACCTCTGCCCTGCCACCTCCCCTCGTTCAGGCTGAACGTGGTGACTTTGGTGAGACTTCTGCGGCCAGCCTCGCAGGACTAGCCTGGGGCCTGCGCACCCCAGCTGCACCTCTTCCACCACCTGATTCCTTGTCTTCCTAGCAGGTGTCACCGGAATCACCTTCTCTATTTGCTCGCACTGTCTGTTGCTGGTGAGAGTGCAGGCTTCTCAGAGCAGGGTGCTGTGGGGTATCGGTGTCCCCAGATAGATTCGCTGCAGTCCTAACCCCTGGTAGCAGACTGTGACTTTATGTACAAAGAGGGTCTTTGCAGACCTACTTGAGATGCAAATTAGGATAAGTCCCTACCGCAGTAGGGCGAGCCCTTCATCCACCAGGGCACAGGCTAGAAGAGGAGCCGGGTCCCAGGGGGCCACCAGTTCTGTTTCTGGATCTTCAAGCTGGGATGTGGGTGTGATCATTCTGTGAGAATTCTTAGGGCTTGTTCATTTTCCTGTATGTGTTATACTACGTATTAAAACAGCTGTCAGGCATTTTTCTTGTATGAGTTCTAGGCTTTGCTTAGAAAGGCTTTTCATACCACAAATCTGAGAAAGCTTCTCCTGCGTTTTCGTCCAGTACTTTCAGAGCTGGCTTCCTTTACCTTTGACTCTTACACCCCCTCTAGAATTTGTTCTACTGTGCGGTATAACGTAGGGCTCTTTCTCCCTTCCGCTGGAGAATCTGACATCTGTTGAACTCTCTAGATAATTCTGCTTAGCATAACAATGACCTCAACTAGTTTGCTCCTGGGAAGGGAAGGACCACAAGGGGATGAATGAAAAGCCCCTGATGAGGACAGGACACCGGGCTTAGTGCCTCCTGAAGTGGGACAACTCTGGGACCTGGCCATGCCCCAGGTGAACCCTGCAATCTGTACCTTTGGGGCCTTTGCAGGGATATGGGTTCCTGTGGGCACGGGGCTTCAAGCCAGGACGAGCTAGTGACCAGCACAGCCATCCCCCAAAGAAAGGGTACAGAGGGCCAGACGGGTGAGCCCTCCCTGCCAGCGGCTGTGCCTCAGACTAAAACAGATGCTTGATAAGTGAATGGGGTGCTTAGTTCTTCTGCTCTATTTTTCCTGCCATCGCCTGTGATTCAGGGGGGAAGGCACCAGGCGACAAACAATGCCCTCTCTTCGTCACCCCTCCCTCCTGGCCCCCCAGCTCTACCCTCACACCTGTCCCTCTCCCCTTGGGCTGACCCCTCTCCCAGGGCTCACCTGGGTCTCTGGTGCACCCGCTCCCAGGTTTCGGGACAGCCCAGACCTGCCTTGTCCTGGGCAGGACACACCTGCTCAGGTGCCTGCCCACCAGCCTGCTCAGTGCCGAACACTGGGAACTGGGGGGCTGGGCTCGGAGGCGGCGGGCGGGAGGGGCAGGACCAAAGCATCCTTCTCAGCTTCTTCTGTCCTCCTGAGTCTCTCAGAACCGCTGCCCAGAGACCTCTGCAGCCCAGCATGACCATGGACGCCCAGTCCGTGGACGCCCAGACCCACCACTGTTCACTCCCGCGCACCCTCTCTGCCCTCCGTCTGTTGCTTAGTTCCCGGCCCACGGGGATGGGCCCTCCCCGCACGGTCTCCACTCTTTGCACCGCACTCTCCTCCATGTGCGTGAGGCGGCGTCCCTGCTGCAGCAGCCCCTATGCCCTCTGCTCTACGCATGTGCCCACGACGCTGAACATGCTAAGAAACACACGGCATGGGCTCGTCTGTGGTGACCCCAAAAAGCATTGGCAGTGTAGCCAAGTAATCTTACTACATTGGCCTGGTCCCATGTCTCCGATCCTTTCCAGGACGACTGCTTACGGCCTTCCAGCCTTCAGGGCCGGCCCCGCCCAGCTAAGGATTTCACTTCCTATCCCACGGAGAATGGGCGGGCGGATGAAGAGAACTTGCCCAAACCTCGTCTGTTTGTCCCAGGCTGGCAGGCACCGCCCACCTCTGTCACAGCCGATGGCCCCCGGGGTGATCCCACCTTCCCACTGGGTCCTGTCCCGTCTCACTGTGAAGGCTTGGTCCCCACAGTTTCCCCCTTTCCTTCCAACGTAGGTCATTCCCGCCGTCACACACATGGGCTGTTGTGCATGCGCAGGCTGTAGTACACACAGAGACCGTTGTATCCATGTTAAGAAACCCTCTCTGGGCACCAACCCCCACCTCCTCCCCCCCTCCCCCCTTCCCTGTGGGGACCGGGCGTGCAGGTGTGCCGTCTCCTCTCTCTCCTGTCCTGCTCCCCCGACGCAGGGCCAGCCAGGCTGCGGTCCCTGCCAGGCCCCTGAAGCCCTTCACCACCTGCCGGTCCCTCGCAGGGCTGACCACCATCTGGCAGGGATCGTGCTCCCTTCCTGCTTCTTCCGCAGGCCCTGTCCCTGCCTTTCTGCTGTCTGCCCAGGGCCTGGAGCGATGCGGCCGGCGCACAACAGGCAGCTGGAAGGCTTGCTGAGTGACGGAGTTGCAGTGTGAGAGGGCGGCCTTCCCTGTCCCCCGCTGCCCCCCTGCTGTGCCTGTAGCATACGGAGATCGTGTGTGGGTCACACCGCAGGGCCTCTGAAGGGGCGTGTGCATGTGTGTGCGCACGGAAATAGGGCTTCCCTGGGAGGAGAGTTGCGTGGAGGCGAGGTTGTGGCAGAGCTGGGGGGGTGGCATTCAGCTGGCCTGAACCTGAACCTGAGTGAGGAAGAGGAGGGGAAGCATCCAGGACTGGTCTGGCTGGTCCCTTGGCAAACAAACCAGAGAAGAAGCTGGAGTGGAACCCCCAGCACCAGCCCAGGCCTGGACCTACCTTGTTAGTCATTGGGAGTGAGCCGAAGGGCTTGGAGCAGGAGGGAGGGACACCCCTGGCCTTGGTCCAGCAGGCGTCTCTTGTGCGGCGGGAAGAGGCTGGGCCCAGGAGTAGGGTCTGTGGCCAGGCCATGACCCATTGCCCACAAGGATCTATCCTCGCCACGCCCCCTCCCCGCCCTGGTCTAAAGAGCATGCGCACATCTGAGGTGAGAGCTATTTTTATGCTTCATTCTTATTCCCCACAGCTGCCCCACCCTGAGCTGTAAGGAACTGCTGATTGAGGCTTGGGTCCCTGTGCCTGGTCCTTGGTCAGCCAGACGCATATTCCGCACTGTATCAGTGCTGAATGAAGACCTTGATTTCCCCTTTTTAAGGGTGGAAAAAACTGTAAAGGCTCCGTGTCCAGCTCTGCACTTGAGCCCTGCTGTCCAAGCCGCCAGCTCCTTCAGCCCAGTAACCTCAGCCACTGCTGACCTCGGCTCAGGGTGGGGGTGCCCTGCAGATGTTTTTCCAGCTGTGGCCGCAGGAGAGGATGCATTCCCCCCTTATTTTCTCTGGCTGGGTTGTGCACTGCAGCGAGGTTTGGTGGGGGGCGGTGCGTTTGCTTAGGCAATGCTTTTTTGAGGACCCCCTCCCGCTGGCTCTTCAGCGTGGCCTGGACATTTCGGGGAGGGAGGGAGGCAGGAGGTGGGAGGGCAGGCAAGTTTCCTCGCAGGCTGACGTGTCAGCCCCGTTGGCTTTTGTCTTGGCTCTGCAGCTTCTGTTTCAGACTGCTGTTTTGATTTCCACTGTGCTTAGCAACGCCTCGGCAGCCTCTGTCGCCCAGGAAAACCATTTGTCTCTCTAAAGAGCTGCTTTAGCTCCCAACTGATAACTCTGGAAGGAACAGCCCCTGGCCGGTCTTAGCTGAGCTCAGAATGAGCACAAGACGGAGACAGTGACCTTGATCTGGATGATTCTAGCCTCTTGAGACCCTGAAATACAAGAGGATGGTTTGATATTCTGTACAAGAATGCAGCCACAAATGGCAGCTCACCCTTGGGCCGTCTGCATTGTTAACTTGACCTACTTGTTTTTCTGACCTGAGGGCTGGGCTTTGCTGGAATTTCCTTCTAGTGTGTTTCTGTGGAAACTTTGATGAAAGAAAAAAAAAGAAAATGTGAAAGAAAGAAGCACGTGTGGTTGGTGTGAGTAGTGACGTGGGCTGGCTCTTTGCCGACCAGGAGCTCGGCCTGTGGGCCCCTGGGGTTTGGGAAGCAGGCTAGAGCCACCTCGGGGACAGCCGCCCCAGCCTCAGGGTGTCTGACCACCACACTGTCCTGGGAACCAGAATCCATGGCCCAGCTGGCTCTGCTCTGAGGCAGGACGCTGGTCCCCCCTGCAGGCCACTCAAGTGGGGCTGATTCTTTTCTGCTCCACCTGGCCCACTGGGCCCAGGGGTGGGAGGTATGTCCCCTGAGCCCCTCTGTACCCAGTCCAGACCCTCCCCCTCCCTCCTCCATGACAGTACTCGACTTCGATCTCGTGCACAGCACCCCCTGGGGGCGGTCTTTCTAGGCCCCTCTAAACATCCAATGGCCATCGCCCCTCTGGGACCCTGGATGGGGCCACAGCTTGCTGGTGGGGCATGGGGCGGGGCATGGGGCAGGGCATGGGGCAGGGCATTCTCCTCCAGAGGGGTCCTCATAGCAGCCCTGTGAGTCCACATGCCATCTGGAGATCCCCCGGCACACTCCCTCACATGGCGGGTTCTTCTCGGTCCAGATCCTTCCACCAGTTGGGTCTGTTTTTATCATTAGCCATGCTGTCTAACAACATGGACAAGTCTTACCAGGTTACCAGGGAAACAAGTCTAGAAAGGGAGCCAAGGTCAAACTCCCTGGCAGGCAGTGTTAAGCTTTTGCCCACACGTATCAAGGAACCGGGTCACCCACCGCCGTCCTCAAACTCGCCTGGTTCCGTGGAGATTTGACTGTCCTCCTCAGCCAGTCTCCGCAGTGCCAAGTCCTGCCCTCCCTGGCGCCATCCACCGCCCTCGTGACCCTTCCGACGACCTTGGCCTTGGGCTCCCTGACCTCCCCTCCTCCGGGGAGTGTGTCTGCCACCCTGGCTCAGCTACTCGCTCCACAGCCTCCATCTTCCACCTCCGCCTTCTCTGCTCCTCCCTCAGTGCTCCCACTCCAGCCCCACTGGCCCTTCCTGGGGCTGCAGTCCCTTGAACCACTCCCCCCCGCACAGTCCCCGCCTGCCCCAGGCCCCTCTTCCCTGCCCTGCACCCTCCCCTGCTCCGCCCTTGCATGGTCCTGCTCAACAGGTACAGCCACAGTTAGAGGTTTCTGGCAGCTACCCACTGCCACGCTGCCCGGTCTCATTGTCACTTCTGATTCCTGAGTCCGGCTGGGCCCTGCGTTGCTTCTGCATTCAGCTCACTCTCCCGCCCTCCCCGCAGCGAGGTTTTACCTCCTCCCCTCCTCTCCCACTTCCGAAACATCCTCTCCCTTGTCACCCCCACCGCCTTCCTCCCCTCCCCTTTCTCTTAGCTGGTAGAGCTGCTGCTTCTTGCACGGAGAAAGTGGAAGCAAGCAAGAGAGAATTTCCAGTTACCTGCCCACCCACACCTGTCCCTTCTCTCCTGTTAGCCGTGGACAGGCTGCGTGAGTTTAGGGCCAGCACCCCGCCCCTCCCCCACATCAGTGCTGACCCGCTTGGTCCAGGCGTGGCTCCCGCAGAGCTGCCTCCGCCCCGGCTGCAGCCCCCTTCCCTCTCCGACTGCTTCCACCGTCCGCCTGTGTGCAAGCTGGGGGTTAGCCCCACCTTGGAGAAGGCTTTCGACCTCACTGTCCTCTCCACAGCCTCCCCATTTCTCTCTACACACGTGCACAGACATGCACACCCATGTGCACAGACATGCACACACACACACAGAATTTACTCACCGTCCCCATTTTCTCTCCCTCTTCATTACGGTTTTGCTCCTCAACTTTAGTGAAGCCACTCCTCAGTGGCTTACCAAGCCCTAACTAAAGTGACAAGCCCTCACTTTGTCACAGGACACAGGGCAGCGTCACACCCCACTGGCCCCTCCTGCCTGACATTTTTCTGCCCCCGGGCTTGCAGGGCACCATGCACTCCTGGATCCCTGACATCTTTTTGGCAATGTCCCTTCAGCCTCCTGACCCGTGACCACCCTATCCCCTGCCCTCCCCGCCCCCCCCCCCATGATCCACCCCAGGCTCAGGAGGCTAAGTACCTCCTGTCTGCTGGGGACATCCAGGCCACGTGTCTTTGCAGGGCTCCAGGCCAGCGCTGGCCCCGGCTCCTCCTCGGGCTCCCACAGCTCCATCGCTGGCTTGTCCAGCCTCAGCTCCTGCCACTCCACCCAGACCTGTCCCGTCCCCCTCACCATTGCGGGTGACAGCCACTTGTTCTTACGGGAGACAGACTTGGCATCGTCCTGGAACCCTGTCTTCCCCTCCTATTCCACGTCCAGTCTACCACAGGGCTTTGGGTTCTGCTTTCAAAACGTGCAGGTATTTAATGATGTTAAGGAATTATGCTTAAGTGTTTTTAGGTATGATAATGATAGTGAGGTTGCATGTTTAAAAAGAAGCCTGCCCTGGCTGGGTAGCTCAGTTGATTAGAACATCACCTTCATGCACCAAGGTTGTGGGTTCCATCCCTGGTCAGGGACCATACAGGAAGCAACTAATGAATGCGTGAGTAAGTGGAACAACATGCTGTGTTTCTCTGTGTCAGTAAAAAAAAAAACCCAATCAATAAAAAGAATACTTACCTTTTGGAAATTCTTACTGAACTGTTTGTAGGTGAAATGATAGGAAGTCTGGGGTTTACTTCAAATAATCTAAGGCAGCGATTTTCACCAAGACAACTCAATAAAACACAGATTTCCGGGTCTCAAGCCCAGAGTCTCTGAGTCAGCTCGGCTGGGGAGGGGTTGTTCATTTGTGTTTCTAATGCAGGACGAGGCTTACTGTCCGAGAGCCATGGGCTGAGTGTTGGGGCGAGGGGGTGGGGGCGGACAACGAATGAGACAAGGCGGGGCCGGAGCCGATGCTGGAGCTGGTGGGTGTGTGGTGTGTGGGTGCACAGGGCCTACCACACGCACTGTGCTTTCCTTTGGAGATTTCCATGATGAAAGTGTGTGTGGTTTCCAGACTCTGGTGGTTTCTCGGCACCTGCACTGCTGCTGCCGTGGTCCAGGGGGCGCCCTCTCTCATCTGAGTTGCCGTGGACTCCTTGCGGTTTCCTCGTACCCCTCTGGGATCTGTTCTTAATTACAGCAGCCAAAGGGACCCTGAAACCCTGCAAGGGCCCCTGACCCCCAGGGAAGTCCCAAGTCCTTTTATGACCTAGAAAGCTGTTTATAATGTGTCCCCCCTCCGAGTCCTCTGTCGGACACACTTCTCTTCTCTGGTTCTGGAAAGCATCTGCCTCAGGACCTTCGCACATGATCCGTTGGGCCTGCAGTGCTCACTCAGCCTTCTCTCTCGCCTCCTCTGCTCTGCATTCGGGCCGCCATTGCTCAGAGGCCTTCTCAAACCATAAAGTTTCACACACATGCACACACAGGCACACCCCACGCCCACTTCATCCCCGCCCCGCTTTGCTCACTTCCCCTCCTTAGCTCATGTCACCGTCTATATTGTACTTACTGACCTTGTCTGTCTGCCCTGACATTGGGCTCTCATGGTACCTGGAACCGAGTAAGCCCCACCACTCCATTGCCTTTGTGAGGGGCCTCGGCCGTGCCCCACTCCAGGGTCCTACCCACCGGGTCGACCTCTGCTGTCCCCCATCCATGGCACATGTCCCTGCTTTGCCGCAGCCCCGCGCCTGCCTCGCTGACTCTGGTGCCTCACTGCTGGATCCCAGTGCCCAGCCCCCGTAGGCTTCCAAGTGCACTCTCGAGAATGAATGGTGTCATCCCAGGGCCAAGACCTGGGTAAGGAAGAGGATGGGAGGGTAGACGAGAGGCCTTTCCTCAGCGAGCTGGACGATCATGGCCAATGGCATGGGGAGCAAAAACATCCTCAGAGGGAGAAACCCACAGGAAATGCAACAGAGGTGTGGGAGGCAGGAACGCTCTTCTCCGAGACCGTAGGCAGGAAGGACAGAAGTTGCAAATGGGCCGGCCAGGCGCAGTCTGCAGAGATGCGTGCGCCACCCACACGGTGCCTGAAATAAGCTCGGGTTGCTTGTCACACTGAAAAACCAGGATGGCCTATTTCTCTGGAAAAGCTGGAGGCCCGCTGGCACTGGGCTGGCATGCCCACCTGGGGCAGCTGGCTGGGACCGGCCGGCTGCACCTCCCCAGTGGCTGTGTCCTTTGTCCCCCACGCCCCAGCGCCGTCATTCACTCCTTACCTGCTCGGTGCTTGCAGGTACTTGATTTGGAAGCTCTTTTTTTGTCGTTGTTATTTTAAGATTTTATTTATTTATTTTTAGAGGGGGAAGGGAGAGAGAAAGAGGGAGAGAAACATCAATGTGTGGTTGCCTCTCGAGCGCCCCCTATTGGGGACCTGGCCTGCAACCCTCACCAGCCAGGCTGGAAGGGTTTTTTTTTTTGTTTGTTTTTTTTTTATAACAAAAGGGATTTCTCCTTCCTTTGGACCTAGTGAGAAAATAGACTTGTTTGGGACCAACAGGGGTCATGGGTGATTTTGGGACAGGCCATCTGGGAGTCCGGGCCTGGGGGAGGGTGTGGAGACCTGTATCATAGGGGTGGGTTAGAAGGGGGTCTCGGAGCCCTGGCTGATGTGGCTCAGTGGATTGAATGCCGTCCTGTGAACCAAAGGGTCACCAGTTCAAGTCCCAGTCAGGGCACATGCCTAAGTTGCAGCCAGGTCCCCAGTAGGGGGTGTGCAAGAGGCAACCACACGTTAATGTTTCTCTCCCTCTCTTTCTCCCTCCTTTCTCCTCTGTCTAAAAATAAATAAGTAAAATCTTTAAAAACAAAAAAAAGAAGAAGGAGCCTCAGAGAAGAAGACACTGAGAAAAGAAAGGCAGCTTCTGCAGAGACAGTTTGCCGGGGAGTCTGGGCTTTGAAAGGACGGGGTCACCGGTGAAAAGATTATTAAGTGTCCTGGGTTCAAACGTGTCGCCAACTTCATCCCTTGAAGTCCCAGCTCCCCACACCTAAGAATGTGACCTTATTAGGAACTAGGGTCATTGGAGATGCAGTTAGTGGAGAGGAGGTCATGGTGGGGTAGGTGACTTCAAATCCAATGGGACAGGTGTCCTTACAAGAAGAGGAGGGAGACACGGACACACGGGAGGAGGCGGCCGTGTGGCGGTGGAGGCAGAGGCTGCAGTGATGCTTCCCAGGCCAGGGGCGGCCTCGGCCCCCGGAAGCAGGGCCGAGGCAGGGAGCCCGGCCCTCCCACCCAGGCTTGCACCCTTGCTTTCGTACCGGAACCCCCAGGACTGTGAGACGGTCACTGTTGCTTTGAGAAGCCTGGTGTGTGGTGGGAAACCCCATCTTCTCACAGGAGGGTCACGGCCCCGGACCTCCGAGGTCGCCACGTGCTGTGAGTCGTCGCAGGGACAGTCGGGTGGGAGGACGTTTATGTCAGGGAGTCCTCGTCCACAGGCTTCGAACGGGACCAGGCGGCCCGAGGTGGGGTGCCTGTTTGTTTTTAAATCGGAAGACCAAGAGTCTTTTTCCCCGTGTTTGTTCCCTGTTGTTGGTGACGTGTGCACTCGTCCTCCGAGCCCCAGCAGGGCCAGGGTCAGTGTGTTTTCGCAGCCTCCCCTGTGGTCACATCCCGCGTCCAAAGTGTGGGCCTGACCACAGCCCTGGGCCAAGTGCTTTCTTTCTGTTCTGTTGGGTGTGCAGAACCCTCTCGTTTCTCGGCGACCGACCCGGGCACACCAGGCTTCAGGGGTCTGTCGGGAGGCGTTGTGAAGCCCCTAGAGTCGAAATATATATTTCGTGTGTGTCAGAATCATTCTCTTGCATTTACCCCCTTGTCTGCCACACTGAAGCCGGAAGCTGCCCGGTTACCGCTCCCTGGCTCTGCCCGCAGCCCCCGCGGACATGGAAACGCCACGCAGGGCCTTGTGTGTGGCCTGCCAGAGGGACACCACCTCCACCTGTGAGGTGGGGGTTTCACAGGACTCACCTGTCCTCCAGCAGGGAGGGGCCTGATTCCAGGGGGCTCCCTGGGCACCTGGCAGTGCCTGGGTCCCTTAACAGGGGGCAGGTGGTTGCCTCTGTGCAGAGGGTGTTGTTCATCTCGTGGCCGGGAGCAGGTGTGAGGGCCAGAGAGGGTGCCTTGTCCCCTCAGCGGTGACCACTGTGGGAGCAGGGCCCTGGGGGCTCGCAGGAGCGGGTCGGGTCCGCCCCTGGGCCCCAAGGCCGTCCACATCCTAAGCCAAAGATCCTGGGAATGGTCTCTTACCTGGTGAAAGGGACTTCGCCGCTGTGATTAAGTTAATTAAGGGCCTCCAGCTGGAGAGGTTACCCTGCATGGTGTGGGTGGGCCCAGTGTAGGCACAGGGGACCTTAAAAGATGGGGCGGGAGGCAGGAGGGAGAGAAGCAGGTGTGAAGGGGGAGTGGCCAGAGCACCTCCGTGGCCGGCTTTGGAGAGGGTGTGGGGCCAGCAGCCAGTGTGGCCCGCAGAAGCTGGACGGACAGGGGAATGGATTCTCTCCTGGAGCTTCCAGAAGGAACAGTCCTGTGAACACCTTGACTTTAACCCTGTGAGACCCATTTCTGCAGGGCCGTGGAGGTGTGATGTTTTGAGCCACGGACTCTGGGGTCATTGGTCACAGCAGCGGTCAGACTACAGCCGTCCCACCTCCCCCTGCTTCGAGGACGGGATGGACGGAGTGGGCAGACTGTGGCCTCCCAGTCCTTTTCGTAATTATCTGTAGGTTTCTCTGCCCCCATCCCACCCCCCAAAAAAACCCAGTCAGAAAAATCCAGTAAGTCGTGGGGTAGAAATGTAATTTATTAAACTGGTTCTTAACCTTTCTGGGGTCACC